AACCCTGATTATATGGTAAGCCCATTTTCCCAGGAAGCAGGGTTTCTTTTAAATTACATAACCCATTTAGATATAAAAGTCTCTAGTGGTATAAGTGGACTCATTAAATGCCTACCATTAAGTAATGTATTGATGTAGTTACACATTCATATTTAAAGTTATGCATTATAAACATTCAAATTTAGAAATGTTACTATTTTTTTTATCTTTTATTTTTTCTTTTATTATACTTTAAGTTCTAGGGTACATGCGCACAACGTAGAGATTTGTTACATAGGTATACATGTGCCATGTTGGTTTGCTGCACCCATCAACTTGTCATCCACATTAGGCATTTCTCCCAATGCTATCCCTCCCCCAATCCCCCACCCCCTGGCAGGCCCCCCAGTATGCGATGCTCCCCCACCCTATGTCCAAGTGTTCTCTCATTGTTCAGTTCCTACCTATGAGTGAAAACATGCGGTGTTTGGTTTTCTGTCCTTGTGATAGTTTCTGTGAATAATGGTTTCCAGCTTCATCCATGTCCCTGCAAAGGACATGAACTCATCCTTTTTTATGGCTGCATAGTATTCCATGGTGTATATGTGCCACATTTTCTTTTTATTATACTTTAAGTTCTAGGGTACATGTGCACAACGTGCAGGTTTGTCACATATGTATACATGTGCCATGTTGGTGTGCTGCACCCATCAACTCGTCAGCACCCATCAACTCATCATTTACATCAGGTATAACTCCCAATGCCATCCCTCCCCCTTCCCCCCTCCCCATAATAGGCCCTGGTGTGTGATGTTCCCCTTCCAGAGTCCAAGTGATCTCATTGTTCAATTCCCATCATATTCCATGGTGTACATGTGCCACATTTTCTTAATCCAGTCTGTCACTGATGGACATTTGGGTTGATTCCAAGTCTTTGCTATTGTGAATAGTGCCGCAGTAAACATACATGTGCATGTGTCTTTATAGCAGCATGATTTATAATCCTTTGGGTATATACCCAGTAATGGGATGGCTGGGTCAAATGGTATTTCTAGTTCTAGATCCTTGAGGAATCACCATACTGTTTTCCACAATGGTTGAACTAGTTTACAATCCCACCAACCGTGTAAAAGTGTTCCTATTTCTCCACATCCTCTTGAGCTGCAGTGGGCTCCACCCAGTTCAAGCTTCCTGGAGGCTTTGTTTACCTACTTAAGCCTCAGCAATGGTGGGCGACCCTCCCCCAGCCTTGCTGCTGCCTTGCAGTTAGATCTCAGACTGCTGTGCTAGCAATGAGGGAGGCTCCGTGGGCATGGGACCCTCCCGGCCAGGTGTGGGATATAATTTCCTGGTGTGCCATTTGCTATACCCTTGGTAAAGCGCAGTATTAGGGTGGGAGTTGCCCGATTTTCCAGGTGTTGTGTGTCTCAGTTTCCCTTGGCTAGGAAAAGGGATTCCCTTCCCCCTTGTGCTTCCCAGGTGAGGCGATGCCTTTCCCTGCTTCAGGTCTCACTGGTTGGGCTGCACCCCCAGACCAGCACCAATTGTCCGGCACCCCCAATGAGATGAACCCGGTACCTCAGTTGAAAATGCAGAAATCACCCGTCTTCTGTGTTGCTCGCGCTGGGAGCTGGAGGCTGGAGCTGTTCCTATTCGGCCATCTTGCTCCAGGACTCTACTATTTTCTTTAGTGTGTTATAAAATGGAGCCCTTACGAAATGGATGCATTGAGGTCAAAACAGGTGAATATAAGCAGTTTTGTATGGTGCAACCTAGTGATTGCAATCTTGGTCTCATCGTCACCCAGCTCCACTTTGAGTCACCTGTCGGTTTTTCAGAGGACACATGGTCATATCTGACTTCACTCAAATGCTGCCCTTTTTCAGTCTGTGTCCTGCTGTCCGTGGACAGGTTGCATGGTTTTGCAGGGGATTGGCATGACTTTTCTCTGCATTTAGCTTTCGGCTCTGTGGCTTTGTTGTGCACTGGGAACACTGGCCTTTTCCTTCATCCACCACGTTTGTGTGGACTCTCAGTTTCTGGGTACAACTACTTACCAGATTGCTTTCATAAGTGATTTTTTTTTTTTTTTTTTTTTGAGACGGAGCCTCGCTCTGTTGCCCAGGCAAGAGTGCAGTGGCGCCATCTCGGCTCACCACAACCTTCACTTCCCGAGTTCAAGCGATTTTCCTACCTCCGCCTCCCGAGTAGATGGGATTACAGGTGCACACCACCATGCCTGGCTAATTTTTGTATTTTTAGTAGAGACAGAGTTTCACTATGTTGGCCAGGCTGGTCTCGAACTACTGACCTCATGATCCGCCAGCCGTAGCCTCCCAATGTGCTGGGATTACACGCGTGAGCCACTGTGCCTGGCCTCTAAAAATAATTTTGACTGAAAGCCTTTGCTCCCTTACCTTCAGGCATACCTGTCATCTGGCTATAAACTGCAGTCAGAGCTGCGCCTGGATGTTGTTCTTGCTTAGCTATATGTATTTGTGTGTGCAAAGACGCAACTACTCCTTAACAGGAAGAAAAGAGAGCTCTTTGCATTCTCCACAGGGCCCTGCAGGGAGGTTCAGGTTAAGTCAGAGGGTCTTGGTTCTGAATGCCCATTGTAACCACTTGGAGAACTTTAAACACACTGAGCCCTCAGTCCTGGGACCTCCTCCACCATCTGATTGTATTGGTGTGGGATTTTTCAAAGCTCACCAGGTAGCTCCATGCAGTAAATCCCAGTGTGCAGCCAGCTTCCTCCAAGGTGCCCCCAATGCCAACAGGGCAAGAGTCACGTTGCTATAGTGCCTGTCCTGTGTTCAAGGCTGGAACCTCCTTGTGCGACTTCATCCCTCAACCTCAGCACTCCTCAAACTTCCATGTGCCTGATGCTGACTGCTGGGTCTGGGATGGAGCCCTGAAATCCGCATGTGTAATGTATGTATTTGTAAGGTCATAAGCAGCCTCCGAAGGGTTGATCTAAGAAAGGAACAAGGCATGAAGTGGAGGCCCTAGGGCTGGCCTGGCCTGTTGGGTCAGAGCCCGGGTTCCAGTTTGAACATGCCGGGGGCCCGCAAGGGAGCTGCTTGTGGTTTTCACACCTCCTTTGTGAGCTGAAAAAACCAGTGCCCCTTTAGAGCAACATTCGCTCTGAATGTTTATCATTCTAAAGTGAAAAAAGACACACAAAACATGAACCTGCTTGTCAGGCAAGGCAGCTGAGGAATCTGTCTGGCTTGCAGAAACCCCTCCTGGGAGCAGACAGCCCCCCCAGGCACAGATGGGACACCACCGCCTCCCACTCGGCCTGTGTCTAGAGACTCCGCATGGCCCCCAGGAAGGTCCTTTCTCCAACAAGGCCAGGGTCAGGACCAAGAGTGAGGACATGGGAAGCACAGGACCTGCAGGGCACCTGCCTCCCTCACCACGTGTGGCATTCAGAGAACAAGGCTGCTCCAGGCCCTGCTCCCCTCTCTCCACCCCACGGTGCCATTACTAACTCCGGCTGGGCTGCCGACCTGGTTTTTCTGAGTGCTCTCAGAACCCTGTAAATCAGGGGTTGTGTGGGCTCTGGTGGACACCAGACAGGAAGTATATTCATGGACCTGGCTGTCTTCCTGGGAAGAGGCCAATGTAAGGGAGAAGAGACTGTTCCAAGGGCTCCTGGGAGAAAGCAAGGGCCAAAAAGCTCAAGAGCAGGATCTGAGTAGAGGACTCAGATACATGGCCAGTTGCTGCCTGGGAAATGCTTTAGAGTGTGAAGAAAGGCCAGGCACGGTGGCTCACTCTTATAATCCCAGCACGTTGGGAGGCTGAGGCAGGTAGATTGCCTGAGGTCAGGAGTTCAAGACCAGTCCGGCCAACATGGTGAAACCTTGTCTCTACTAAAAATACAAAAAAGTTAGCTGGGTGTGGTGGCGAGTGCCTATAATCCCAGCTACTCAGAAGGCTGAGGCAGGGGAATCGCCAGGGAGGTGGAGGTTGCAGTGAGCAGAGATTGTGCCACTGCACTCCAGCCTGGGTGACAGAGCAAGACTCCATCTCAAAAAAAAAAAAAGTGAAGAGGAGGGACGGAGAACAGAACCAGAGAGCAAAGTCTTACCAGGTCCACTCCTTGGGAATTTGGGGGCCTCTGCTCAACTTCGTTGACCTGGTTTTAGTGAACACACCACCTCCTCATGCTAGGGCTGGAGACACCAGCAGCCAGGGATGTCTGTCTAAATGAACACTGTCAGCCACATGTTAGTGCGTGACTCTGGTATGCAAGAAAGGTTGTACTTCGTTTTCTTTTACTTAATTCTAAGCCCCAGTCCTCCAGGCTTGTGGGAAATTCAGCCCCAGTCATTACCGGGCTCTTCTCCATGCCCACGACTGGGCAAAGGCCCCAGAGCCTCCTGCAGCAGATAGTGCTGGGGAGACCTCTGTGGTCATCAGGCCCAGTCCTTCCTGGGGGCCACCAAGCCATGCCGCTCACCATCTCAGAAACTTCAGAGCGTGGAGCCGAGGCGAGCGGTGGAAAGCAGCTAGCAGGAGGTAGTATTTCAGCAGGTGTCTCACATCTAAGTCTCCCTGGCTGTTGTTACCAAGTACCAAAGCCTGGGTGGCCTAAACGTTTAATTCCTTACAGTTCTGGAGGTGGAGGGTCAAAATCAAGGTGCTAACAAATCCGGTGTCTGGTGAAGACCCTCCTCCTGATGTACAGACCACCGTATCCTCTCATGGTGGAGAGTGAGTGAGCTTGGGCCTCTTTCCCTTCTCACACTGTTCCCAGCGTGGAGGCTCCACCCTCATGACAGCTAACCCTACTCACCTCCCAAAGCCCCCACCTCCATGGCTCCAACATCTGCATTTTGCAGAGACACAAACATGCATTCCATAACATCTAGAAAGTCTTCCATCAGGCAGCTGCTGTTTTTGCCCTGAATGATTGCAAGTGCCTGGGCATGACATATGCCCCAGCCCAGGGGGAGCCGCATTGTAAGGCCATCGTCTCAGCCCCCACTCAGGCTGTCCTGTCTCCGCAGTGCTCATCGACCTGCGGGAAGGGCCTGCAGTCCCGGGTGGTGCAGTGCATGCACAAGGTCACAGGGCGCCACGGCAGCGAGTGCCCCGCCCTCTCGAAGCCTGCCCCCTACAGACAGTGCTACCAGGAGGTCTGCAACGACAGGATCAATGCCAACACCATCACCTCCCCCCGCCTTGGTGAGTGTCTTCACTGGCCCTGGTTCCCCGGGGGCTGCTGTGTCTCCTGCCCAGTGAGTCCTCCCTGATGGTGAGGTTCTCTCAGCTAGAAAGCCCCCTTCTTGGGCCTCACTTGTCACATAAGGCTGACATTTGTCAGTTCTGTAGAAGAGGTTTCAGAGATGGAATTCCATTCCCTGTTGTGGAAGTGATGTTTGCTTACTGCTGTCTCAAACACAGGCCCCTGAGCATCCCCCTCACCCTTTTGCCCAACACAGAAGAATGTTCCGCAGACATTGTAGGTTTCCTGTGCATGAGGAATGTGAAGGTAAGTGCTTCTTTCTAGAAATGAAAGCTCCAGGGACATCCTTCATGATGCCGTGAGGATGCACACGTGGGGCACACCCCAGGCTGATGCTCGAGCGGCAGACAGGTGTGGTGGAGGGCTGCAGACTGTGTGCGTGGTTTGGCCCTGGGTGCTCAGAACCTGGCCTCTTACCAGTTCATGACCCAGGTCAGTGGTGATGCGAGGAGACGAGGAGCACTTAAAGATCTGGCCAGGTGTGGTGGCACATGCCTGTAAATCCCAGCACTTTGGGAGGCCAAGATGGGTGGATCCCTGAGGTCAGAAGCTCAAGACCAGCCTGACCAACACAGTGTAACCCTGTCTCTATTAAAAATACAAAAAGTAGCCAGGCGTGGTGGCACGTGCCTGTAGTCCCCACTACTCAGGTGGCTGAGGCAGGAGAATCGCTCGAACCCAGAAGGCAGAGGCTGTAGTGAGCCGAGATTGCACCACTGCACTCCAACCTGGGCGACAGAGTGAGACTCTGTCTCAACACATACAAAACAATGATACAATTCCTTTTAACAGAGTTTCTGTTTTGCTAAATAGAAGTCCCTGAGAAATATTTTCCTACCTGAGGCTGGAAACTCACTGAAATGCAGGGGATTTGTAGCATCTTTGTTCCAGGGGAGGCTTTTGGGCTGGCAGAAGTATAGTTGTGACTTTTGCAAGCACGGGCCTGCTTGGTGACTTCCAGAGACCACCCTCAAGCAGGGCCTTCTCTCTGTACAATCAAGACCCTGAAGGATATTTGGGCCACTTGTATGTCTTGGACCTCATGCTTTTTGGGGTCCTTTGATGTTCACTGTTCCATGTCGTCCTGTTTTATAAATGCCTACAATAATGGTACCCTCAGCCACAAAACAACAGTAAGTGCCACTTAGCTTGGAAGCAAGGTGGCCTGTGCCCTCTTCCCTGGAGAGGCAGCCAGACCACCACACCATCATGTGGTTGGGTTTGGATGCAAGGGTGTGTCCCTGTGACAGAAAGTGACACCCCCAGTGCCCTGGGAGGAGGCATGGCCTAATCAGTGCATAGGGTTGACATGTGCACAAGGGTGAGGGAGCCCAGATGGTGGGACCACAAGCCCTCCCTGGGCGTGCATCAGGACATGCCTAGGCCATCCCTGACTCTGGGTGTTCTCTCTCTTTTGTCGCCTTAGCTGCTCTGACCTACAAATGCACGCGAGACCAGTGGACGGTGTATTGCCGGGTCATCCGAGAAAAGAACCTCTGCCAGGACATGCGGTGGTACCAGCGCTGCTGCCAGACCTGTAGGGACTTCTATGCAAACAAGATGCGCCAGCCACTGCCAAGCTCGTGACGCGCAGCCCCGGGGGTCGCTCAAGGCTCAGACTCGAGGTCTGAAACCCGCCCACCCCCAAGCGTCCCAGCCTTGCGGCCATGCCCCCACAAGGCTACCACAAGAATACAACTGCATAGAGCATGAGTGTGGACTTGACGTTTGCCATTAAAGCTTCTGTACTTAATATATTGTTAACAGCCACTGGATGGCTCTCGACACTGAGGAAAAAGGAGGCATGAGTCACAAAATAACTTTCATTTCTAGGATTCCAGGTACCTCGAAGGGAAGCACCTCTGGCAGACGACCGTCAAGAGAGAGACACCATTTAGTGTTCCTGTCTTGGCTCGCTTTCGACATTTGAATTCCCAGTGCTTGGTGTATCATGGAGGAAACATCCCCAAAACCAGACATGTTAGAAGAGGCTTTATTCTGAAAGCCGGCGACACCCTGGAGGGAGGGGCAGGTGTTGGTGAGCCTCTACCCATGGCTTCTCTGGAGAGGGCCGGGCTGCTGAGCCCATGTTTTCTCTTCATCTACCTTCTTGACCACATGAGAACCAGGACATTGCTTCCATGCCTGTCTCTGACAACAGAGTCTCTAAATCCTAAGTGTTGCCTTGGAAGTCTCGTCCCTGAGAGTGTAAACTATGTATGCCAGCGAGGACAACAGTGCCACGCAGTTCACACCACCCACATGGGAAGAATGTTCCAAGACAGTCTGGGTTTGGGGAAGCATCTAATTTTCAGAGCTCTGCTGTCCACCATGTAGGGAAACAGAAGGGCCTTTCTTCAAGGTGCTGTGAAATGGGAAACGGTAATTGTGGTGATGGGGTTGCTGCCTAAGGCAAAGGTAAGCTTGGGCCATCTTCGTTGGGGCAGATGGGCACCTGCCCCACCTTCCGGGACCATCCACTCTGGCCCGCACTTCCTAAAGCTTTGCACCTTAGAGATGCTGTACCACATGCCAGTGGCTTTCTACCAACCTTGGCCATGTATCTGAAGACGACATTTGGGACCTCTGAGGACAAAAACCCAGGCCTAGCATGTATAGAGCAAGGCCTGACGGCTCTATCCTGGCACGGAGCAGCCTGATGTGGCAGGACCAGGGGAGGAACGCCATCTGGCCCGCACTGCTGCACACCCACTGAGCCTTCCTGTAGCCCAGACTTTGTGGTAGCCATTATCACGCCTGTCATCACTGACCCATCTTCTTGGTAGGGCAAGGATGATGCATGATGAAGGTCCTTCCCTCCTGCAGCCCCCTCACGCCTGGTAGCAGATGACCAGAGTGGCCTCTTTGAGAACACAAAGGATGGTAGAACTCTGCCTGCAAGGAGGCCGGGAAGGCTGGAAACAGAGACCCTAGATGCCAGGACGCCTGTTTTGCTCACCAACTTGGTGGGCATTTCATGGGTGCTTATGTTCTAGGATGTTACCGTAAGAAACACACCTCCTCCCTGATTTCAGACAGAAGATCTCACTTGGACTAATTTCCATGGGATCATCTCCCAGTGCTTCTTGATTTATTGGTGCTGTGTTTCTGTGTTTTGTTTTGTTAGATGTCACAACAGTAGAGTTAGCTTAAATCAGAAAGAAACCTCTCTGTCTTCTCCACCCTGTCTGACGAGCTGTGTTTGTGTTCGGACTACCCCAGAGGCAGAGAAGCGGTAGGGATGTCAGGGAATTTACTCACTTCCACTTGAATCAACGAGAAGTGTTGAGAAACTTCCGTGGGTGCTCTGTGGAAAGAACTGAGAGTGTCAGGAGGGAGCGGCCCACCCTCACCCCGGGGCCTGTGCAGAACACTGTCCTCCCCCTCAGGCCTGGCCACCAGCAGACTCCCCTGAATTCCCGTTTTCACAAAGCCCTCAAAATTTGGGGGGAGCTGAGATTCCATTTCCTTCATCCCCAAATGAACTGTTAATTCACCAAAAGACATTTAGACTTTTGCAGCCAAGGAGCAGAGCTGAGCTAGCTCACTAAGGAAGCCTTAGCTTGGACTCCTGCATGGGCCCTGGGCCTCTAAATATGCCCCCTGGTCACCCTGGCAAGGGCCCCACACCCTCAGAATGAAAAGGATTGATTGGGTTATTGTCAGACACCCCCATTAGTTCCCCTAAAGTCCGCATCTTTGGAGCTCTTTTAGCTCATCTTTTTTTGTTTTTTTTTTTGTTTTTTTTGTTTTTTTTGAGATGGAGTCTCGCTCTGTCACCCAGGCTGGAGTGCAGTGGCGCGATCTCGGCTCACTGCAAGCTCCGCCTCCCGGGTTCACGCCATTCTCCTGCCTCAGCCTCCCGAGTAGCTGGGACTACAGGTGCCCGCCACCACACCCGGCTACTTTTTTGTATTTTTAGTAGAGACGGGGTTTCACCGTGTTAGCCAGGATGGTCTCATTCTCCTGACCTTGTGATCCACCTGTCTCGGCCTCCCAAAGTGCTGGGATTACAGGAGTGAGCGACCGTGCCCAGCCTTCTAGCTTATCTTAAAATCCACCAGCCTGCCTTCCTGTTCATGGCACGAGCAGTGATTTCAGTGAAACCATCATGACATTCTTGTTCCACTAGACTCTGATCACAGCAGTGATGTCTCTGTATTGTTAACAACACCCTGTACTGTCCCTCAAGTACTGTACCTTTGTGCTTGCACACGTGTTACTAACTAGAGCCTCACGATCCTATGGTGCTATTTTTATTGGTGCAAAATGAAACCCTCTCAGTTGACCATGGCTTGATATGATCAGAATGCAGGAAAAGAGCCTCAATGGCAATACTATTGTTCTTTTTTCATTTCAGAGTCAAATGTATATATTTTCCATTAGTTAACTTGCATTACATACTGTACCCATGGTATTTTTGTTTTACTTTCTTTTTGGTGCTGGTTTTGAAAGGAAAAAAAAAAAAACAGAAGACAAACATTGGATGCCATTATACATGAAAAATTAATCATTTCATTGGAAGCAAGTTGAATATGTGTAATAAAATGTTTTTCCATAACGGTTTTAAGCTGTCTGTGAAGTAAAAGATGAAAGCCAGTCCTCAGTGCTGACGGGGAGGCTGTGTTCTTCCCCACTATGGCAGTCACCTGGCTTGCCAGGGACTTGGCTGCGGGGAGCCTGCTGGCCACAGCTGGGGTTGGTGTCAGAGGTCACTGGGAAATGCAGTTCTGAGGGATGGCTGCATCTCCATGAGCGAGTGCTAACAAATCATTCAGTCCTGGCCTCATCCCTTTGTGGTTGCAAAACCCTGGGTGGGGACATGAGGGTCTGACAGTTGTGCTGGGAGCCTGTGCATCTGATGTAGAGCAGCCACTTCACTGGCAGAGCAGCCCAGGCTCCAAGACCTGTGCTGCAGAGTGCAGGCCCTGGCCATGCTGGCCGGAGAGCCATGCTCAACTCTCCACCCGCTACCCCCACCCCACAACCCTGCCAACAGCCTTCACAGCTTCCCTCCGCCAGCAGATGTGACAGCAAGTCACGGCCCCACACATCCCCCAGCACTGCGGACAGGACAGGGGTGCCACACCACCACCACAGTGGGAACAACCATAGCCATTTGGATGCCATCTGGGCCTGACATGGAACACACATGTCACAGCTTACAGGGATGGGGAGTCCATCTCCTCCCAGAGTCAGGAGAAACCTCCACACCCACAACCTTAGAGCCCTTTATTAAGACTAAAGCAGGCCAGGCACAGCAGCTCACACCTGTAATCCCAGAACTTTGGGAAGTTGACACGGGAGGATCACTTGAGGCCAAGAGTTGATCAGCCTGGGCAAAATAGTGAGACCCCTGTCTACTAAAGTTAGCTGGGTGTGGTGGCATACTCCTGTAGTCCCTCCCAGCTACTCAGGAGGCTGAGGCAGGAACATCACTCGAGCCCAGTAGTTGGAGGCTGCAGTGAGCTGTGATTGTGCCACTGTACTCCAGCCTGGACAACACAGCAAGACCCTATCTAAGAAAAGAAAAATGGAGTAGCACCCAGAAATCTCACTAACGAAATAAGTAATTTGACAGACAACATACTGCCCACAGCCCCCTGGTCACTGGAAAACCCGTGGTTTGTGTTAATTCTTGAGAACCATCGCCCACCTGCCTCCAGGACATGGAACCCTCTCGTCCTTCCTCCGTTCTGCCCTCTCTGGCGGGTTGGCTTTTAACAGCCCTGTTTGCATGGAATTTCTTCATGTTCTGCTTCGATTCCTGGATGGCTCAGTGATTCCGGTTTGTTAGATGAAATTGACAAGCTCTCCATCAGCAAGTGTTGAGTGGGCATCTGTCAGGGACCAAGCACTTCCTAGAACCGCAGAGAACGCAAAGGAACAGAAGTCCTACTCAGGAGCCCACAGCCCCACAGGGCAGAGAAGCCTGGAGATGCACAGAGCTGGGAATGAGCCAGAGGAGCAGAACCCCGAAGAGAGAAAGGTCAGGATGTCCTCTGTGGGTTTGTTCACTGACCTGGACACAGACTAGAAGGGCTGGGGTTGGAAGCTTTTACTGCAGCGCCCTCTCTCTGTAAAAGGTCTCAGCAAAAGCCCTTGCATTTCTGCTTCCAGGTACAAACCTACCTGCATGAGTCCACCTTCTATGCCTGACAAGGAAGCGGTGCCCAGCCCTCCTGGAAAGCCAGCCCTCCCACCGTCACTTGACATCCCCCTCCCCACCCCAGCAGCACTCCACACACCGCCTCACCTCTGGTCATGAACTCCCCTGGCTTTCACCCTCTGCTCTGCACTAACGCTCTTCTTGACAGGTCACCAGTGACTTCATGGCATCAGGTTGCGTGGACATCCTAGTGTCCTGTTCCCCAGCTCCCAGCAGCCCTCCCCTTTGACACAGCCCCTCCTGCAGCACCATCCACTGCTGACTTTCCTCCCCTCTCCCTGCCATCTGGCTAGTGGTGAAGTGCCCCAAGCTCAGCCCTCCACCCTTTCCTATATACTTTCTCCCTAGGTCGTATTACCTGGACTCAAGACTTTCTAAACCACGTACACCCTGTTCTTTTCCAAGTGAACATTTTGGGCCCTGACAGCCACCCTGGCCCACCTCTGTACTCACGCGTGACTCTCCACGTGCATACTCAATCCCCCGGGAAGTTTGGGACTAAGATAGTGCTTCATAGTTGTCCTCAATCTGCAATTTGAGCAGGGGGTTTGGGGAGGGCCACTCACCTCTGCTGGGGTGGCTCAAAGGACAAGTAGAGACTGGAAGGGTCGGAAAGGCTGTGGTCTTGCACCTGTGGCCGCTGATGCCAGCTGCCAGTCAGAACTTCAGCTAGGACCATCAGCCGGGACACCTGCAAGGGGCCTCTCTAAGGGATGGTGGGATTTTGGTGGCAAACATCCCGAGAGTGAGCTGCACAACCTCTTGTGACAACTCAAAATTTCCACAGCATCACTCCCACCATGCTCTAAGAGCAAGGCAGGCACAAAGGCTCAGTCAAGTTTAAGGGCGGGGGTGGGGGGGATAAAGCGTCCGCCTCTTGCTGGGGGTGGTGTCAGGGTTCTGGAAGAACAGGTGGAGTGGGGAACATTGTTATGGCCATTTTTAGAAGATTCACACACATCCCCTGTATTAGTTGGGGTTCTCCAGGGACACGGAACCAAGAGGACAGACAAGAGGAGATTTATTATGGGAATTGGCTCACATGATGATTGGAGGCCAAGAAGTCCTGCCATCTGCTCTCTGCCAGTGGGAGACTCAGGAAAGCTGCCACTGCAATTCAGTCTCAGTCCAAAGGCCGGAGAACCGGGAGTTCTGGGGGCAGAGGAGAAGTCGGATGGTCCAGCTCCAGCAGAGAGGGCAGATTCACCCTTCCTCAGCCTTTCTGTTCTATTCGGGCCCTCTGCAGATTGGATGGTGCCCACCCACCTTGGTGAAGGTGGATCTTCTTTCCTCAGCCTATGGATTCAGACACTTATCTCTTCCAGAAACAGCCTCACAGACACTTCCGGAAATCATGTTTTACCAGCCATCTGGGCATCCCTTAACGCAGGCAAGTTGATGTATAAAATTAACCTTCATACTCACACATACATGCAAAATACACTCACCCCTCCCCCACCTCAGCCCTAAAGTCTCATCTCCTTTCAGCATCAGGCTCAGGACTGCATCCCCTGAATCAGGTGCTGATGTGTCTCCTCCAGCGTGGCTCCCCAGGCACAGGTCCTTCAGCACTGGTTCTAAAAATCCCATGAACTAAAGAGAGACATCCTCCTCCCTGCACTGAGAGGGTCAAGAGAAGATGGTGTCAACAGCACAAGACAACCACTGCAGACACTCCCTATTTTAAAAGGAGGGAAGGCACATGGTGGGCACCGTCCAGCAGCTGATGTCCAGCCTGGCACATGGAGCCAGTTCCATTAGGCTCAGTCCTACTGCCAGGGAACGATTCTCCTTGGACTGGCTCCAGGAGCCAAAGAGGCTTTTGGCATATTGTAATTCATTCTTAATGATGGGGAGGCATGATTCAGTAAAGTATCCTTCCTTTTGGAGAGCATGTCCTGACACGCCCCCACAATACTGGACTCCTACAAACTTTACCAATAAAATGATCCTTCAGTCCGGGCACGGTGGCTCATGCCTGTAATCCCAGCACTTTGGGAGGCCGAGGCGG